TCATGGAGTTGAGAATTAGACCTCTGAGGAGGGATGCTGGTGTCTTACAGAAGGGGCACGATGAAAGTGGTTCTGCAAGTGTTGTGAAGACTGCAACCGAATTCAGTTCCTGCCAGGGAAGGAGGTGCCGTTTCCAGAATGAAGTAGCATTGCTGGAATGATGCTCACAACCACATGCAGACATAAAGCCCAGGAAACAGACGGGAAGGAACAAATCCTTTCTCAGTCAGACTCGCAGCCTTCCTCTAATGCCTGCTACTGGCAGAGGCTAACCAAGACCTACCTAGAAGAGCAGAATTGCTGGGTGGTTTCGACTTCCAGCTTTACCATCACAAAGGCAGAATGCTGGGTGTGGAGCTGAGATAAAATCTTACTAACTGGCATATGATTTTTAGTATTTGTTCTTTTCTATTGCTTTGAATTACTGGATAGTCCTTAAGATTTCTTCTTTGAGGCACCTGGATGGCTCAGCTGGTTAGGTGTCCTGACTCCTGATTTTGGCTCAGGTCATGATCTCACGGTTCGTGGGTTCAAGCCCCACGTTGGGCTCTGTGCCGACAGCTCAGAGCCTGGAGCCTGTTTCAGATTCTGTGTCTCCTTCTCTCTCTACCCCTCCTCTGCTCCGGCTCTGTCTCTCAAAAATAAACATTTAAAAAATAAAAAGATTTCTTCTTTCAAGATTCCTTTTATATGGACATCAAATCTTCTATATCTGATAGCTTTCTCTTGAATCCTTTCAAAGTCTCTTGTCTTCTGTTTATTTTTTAAATGTTTATTTTTGAGAGAGGGAGAAAGAACGTGAATGAGGGAGTGGCAGAGAAAGAGGATGGAGGATCTGAAGCAGGCACAGAGCCCAATGTGGGGCTTAAACTCATGAATCATGAGATCATGATCTGAGCTGAAGTCGGGATGCTCAATCTACTGAACCACCCAGGTGCCCCTAAAAGTCTCGTCTTGATTGAAAACATTTTCTTCCCTTCCATCCTCTTTATTTATTTATTTAATTTTGAGAGAGACAGAGAGAGCAAGGGAGAGAATCCTAAGCAGGCTCCACTGTCAGCATGGAGCTCAATGTGAGACTCGAACTCACAGTTCGTGAGATCATGCCCTAAGCTGAAACTGAGTCAGATGCTTGTGTCTGAACCACCCAGGAGGCCCTCCATCCTCTTTTTCTTAGGGATTATTGTGTCTTACTCACTTTGAACTTCCTTTTAGTTTAGTTTTCACTTTTGAAGTACTTCTTTTCCTTTCAATTTGTAATGCTTTCTTGAATTACTGATTTTTTCAAATCTTTTATTCACTTATCTGAGCTCTTCTAATGGTTACAGCTTTCATAATTTTCTTAAATTGTTGTACCTTGGTTTAAAACACTTAATTCTGGGGGCACGTGGGTGGCTTAGTTAAGTGTCTGACTTCAGCTCAAATTGCAGTTGCTGAGATTGAGCCCACACTGGGTTCTGTGCTGGCAGCACAGAGCCTGGTTGGGATTCTTTCTCCCTCTCTCTGCTTCTGCCCCGCTCATCCATTTATGCTCTCTCAAAATCAATAAAAATAAAACTCAAAAAACTCACACAAAAAAGCCCTTAATTCTTATGTTTTGTAAGGATCAACTATTCTCTATTTTTTATTCAATTCTACAATTCTGTTGTTCACTTCTATGTGAAATGCTTTTTCCTGTACTTTTAGGAGGTCGAAAGGACAAAATAACTTTTCTGACCTCACAGCTCCTGAAATCCTGTTATTTTCACAAAATGACCTAGTATTGAGATCTGCTTCTGCTTCTCTCCTTCATTTCAATTGGTACATTATCTTTCCTTTGCCCTCACTCTCCCTGTCCTGATCAATTTGGTGTCTACAGCAGCAGTTTTTCCTTAAGTGAGATGTTTGAGAAGGAGGCTTAAACTTGTCAGTTTGAAGAGGACCTAGACTACTCCAACATCTTCAGAACTTAGCAGTTTCCTCGAATTTACCAGCTAATTGACATCTGTAGGAACCTTGTTTGGGCTGTTGTTCCCAAATTAGACGGACTTGCTTTCCAGTGGAAACCTGATGTGGGGGGAATCTCTTAATTCTCAAGGTCATCAGATGTCCTGCCGCTTTTCCTCTACAGCTTTGTATCCAGGTACCCAATACCATTGTTTAATTTTTTCGTTTGGTCTTTTTTTTTTTTTAAAGTAGGCTTCACACCCAGCATGGTGCACAACACAGGGTTTGATCCCATGACCCTGAGCTGAGATCAAGAGTCAGCCACCTGGGACACCTGGGTGGGTCAGTTGGTCAACATCTGACTTTGGCTCAGGTCATGATCTCACAGTCGTTGAGTTCAAGCCCAGCATTGGGCTCTGTGCTGACAGCTTAGAGACTGGAGCCTGCTTCAGGTTTTGTCTCCCTCTTTCTCTGCCCCTCCCCCACTTGTGCTATCTCTCTCTCTCAAAAATAAAAACATTAAAAAAAAGAGTTGGAAGCTTAACTGAATGTGCCACCCAGGCAATCCCCATTCGAGTCTTATGGATTAGAGTTTATCACTACCTAATCTTATTTTGGGACTACGGGGACACCTTGTCACTAAGATTTGTTGTAGACACTGCGCTTGGATTTCTGCTTCTATTGATTTGGGGAGATTAAAAAACTATACTGCTATTTCTATGATCTTTTTTTTAATGCATTTCTGGTAATCTTTTATTTAGGAATATTTCTGATAACAGTCTGTGTCAAAGGTAGTACAGCATGGGCTGTGGAGTCACACTGCCTGGTTACAAATCTTGGACTCACATTTACTAATGTGTGATCATAACCTCCTCTCTTTTGTTTCCTCAGTAAAATAACAGGTTGTTGAGAGATCTAAATGAAATAACATATGTAAAGCACTGAGCAAAGCACTAGATGACATAGCGGGTATTCAACTAAGATAGCTGCTTAAGTTACTGTATTTTTCTTTTTTAGGTCTAGGTTTTAGATTACTGACTTTACAGACTATAAAAAAAAAAAGTAAAAAGCAAAACATTTGAATATTAAAAAAGAAGCCTAACCTCTTGAAATTCCTGGTTTCATGACAATATAAAAACTACAACTGTAAATAGCTAGAATATAATGAAAACGAGAAAGGCACATGGTAGACAAAGGTGACTTCAGAGAAAATTTCATAGCACTAAGTACTTTTTTCTGTATTATCATCTGTCTATGTAAGAACTAGTGAGCAACCTCTCCTAGTATCTTTCTTGGATTTCCACATAAGAAAGCTAAGTTTCATTGGAGTTAGGGCCTTATTTTATTCTCTCATTGGATTTCCACCAGCTAGAACAATGTCAAGTATGTAGTACTTGCTCAAAGAATGTTTGTTGAATGTGCAGACACATACCACATATAAAAAATGTTCATTGGAGTACTATAAAAGTGCAAAATCAGAAAGTATAAAATATCCACTTAAATAGAGAAAGGATGAACATGTATTTCATATAATGGGGTATTATTCAGCAGTTTAAGTAAATGAACTAGAAATTCATGTATAAATTTCAAAAACAACATTTAGTGAAAAAAGCAAATTGCTGAAAGTATATACAGCACAACTTTACATAGAGTTTTATATTGTTTATAAGTTTGAAACAAGGCTATCTTTTAAGTGAAAAATCCAACATACATGTAAAGAAGCACAACAAATACTGTTGTCTCTGGGGAAAACAGAAGAGGAATGCCATCAGTAAACGATTTGCAAGGGAGCTTCAACTTGATCTGTAATATTTTATTTCTGAAATAAAAATGTGGAACATAGGGGTGCCTGGGTGGCTCAGTTAGTTGAGCATCTGACTCTTGATTTTGTCTCAGTTCATGATCTCATGGTTCGTAAGATAGAGCCTCCCATCAGGCTCTAGGCTGTAAGAAGCCTGGTTGGGATTCTCTCTCCCTCTGCCCCGCCCCACTCTCTCTCTCTCTCTCTCAAAATAAATAAACTTAAAAAAAAAATCTGGAGCATGGTAAAATGTTAGGATCTAACAGGATTAAATGTTACTTGTTATACTCTTTGTATTTTTATGTTAAAATCAACCATAATAAAAAAACCCAACAGTGTATTTTTAAAAGGCAGGATTGACAAATAAATCTAAGAATGTGTATGAAAAACAAGTAAATAAATCACTTTGGCCTAACTGAGAAAGCAAGTATATAGAAGATCAATAAGGAAAGTAAGTACAGTATATAGAAAAAATTAGAATACTTTCTATACCCCTGAGTAAATTCCTTTTTTAAAAAAGCCTAAATAAAATGGATGGTTTTTCTAGAAAAATTAAAGTAAGAACTGAAGAAAAAGAGTGAGCAAGGGAAAAGTGGCAGAGAAATATTCCTAAAACAAATAAACAAAATTCTAGGCCCAGATACATCTACCACTAAATTCTTACCAATCTTTGAGGGACACATTTTCCTTTATCCCCTGAACCTTTATAAAGTATAATGAGAGAAAAAGAATCATTTCTTTTTGGATTATTTAAAAAATAGTAATATTTTCATAAAGTAGATTAAGAATTCATACTGTATCATCTAGCTATTTATGTCAACCAAAACTACAGCCATATTTAAACAGGCCATTTCACAGGAAAAGGAAATATAAATGGCTCAAATAGATACCAAATCTTAAGTGAAAATACAAAATTCCATTGGGATTTGTAACAGACTGGCAAGAACCAAAACGTCTGAGAACAGTTGATACAGATAGAAGGAAACTGGCAATCTCACACATGGTTGGTGCAATTATAAGGTGGCATAATTATTAAAGAAAGCAATTTGCCAGTTATCTATCAAGTATAAAAATGCATAATCTTCTGACCTAGTAACTCCAATTTAAAATTTTATCTTAGAGTAATTCACTCATATGCAATAGACCCATATACAAGGTTATTAAATGCAGCTTTATAATGGCAAAATATTGTGAAGAATTAAAATGTCTGTCATTAGGGACTGCTAAAATATATTATGGTACATCCATACAACAAAAATTTATGCAGCTATGAAAAAAAAATCAAGAAACCTTTATGTATTGATATAGGACAATCTCAAAAATATGTTAAGTGGAAAAGACAAGGTGAAGAACAGTGTGCACTACAGAGTACGATCTATGAAAAAGATCTCCAGAAGGATTATCTGACAGACACTATAGGGAGAACTGGGTACTAAAAACAGGAAGGAGACTTTTCACTGTACATCATTCCGATTTTTGAACTTTGAATCAAGTGACTGTTACATGTTCTGATGAAAAAATTTTTCTTAGGAGATAAAATTTTGAAATAAAAGCAAACATTCCAGCAGAAATACAAAATTCTTTTAGGTAAATTCAAATTAGCAACTGTTACATTTCTTTCATCTGATGGATAAACTTTTCCACGAGTCCATTGAGTCTTTCAGGTTCCATCAGCTTATTTACCAATTCTTGCTCAACAGCCATTAGGGCTAGGCCACTAAGCTTCTCTTGTCCCATGGTATGACATAAATATGTTTTAAGACGAGGCAGTGTGGAAAATGAGTTTTCAGCACTTGAAGTTACTGGCCAAGACAAAGCAATATATAATAACTTTGATATGCAAGGAATATTATTGTGAAGACCATGCTGGATAAACAAATAGCCAAGATTAATGAAGTTGATACAATCATAATCTATGACAAAGTTAAGCTTTGCATATTGCCGATAAAATCTAAGTTCTGGGATGATGTCTGCATCAAGTTTATAAAATTCTTGGACATGTTTGGCTGTTGCTTCATTTAATGGTTCACTCCATTTAAATAATAGTTCTGAAATTTGCTTCATTTTGCAATAATCAAACTCTGAAAAACATAATTTTAAATTATTTAATATAGTGTCCAATCCTTGGTAATAAATATTAATTTTATATTGTTCTTCTGTTGAGGTAGGAAAAAACATACTATCTGAATTGACAAGATCTATTGTTTTCTGAATTTTTCTTCTTTTCTGAAAAGAAGGTCTTTCTACTTCAAAACTTTTACTGGTTATTTTTTGACATATTTCCTCTGCTCCATCCCAGATAGTTTTGAAATAGACATCATTTCTTTCAGATGATAAACATTCCAAAATTGCTTCTATTTTTGAAGACAATGAAAAAATATCTATAGTTTCACTCTGAAGCTCTTTGGAAAGAATTCCTGTAACACTTAACACTCGATAAAGAAATTTCAAACAAAAGATAAATTCAAATTTGGAAATCAATGTTAACAAATCACTCAATTCATCAGCCAAACTTGTGTTTGAAGAATGTCTTGATACAAATTCCAGTGTTTCAATAATCTCTGGAAGACCCTCTATCACTGATAGTAACATCTGATCATGGACTGTCCAACACGATTGTGATGTATGTTTCTTGCATGTTTTGTTTTGACTTAGCTTACAAATGTTTTCAAAATTTGCAGACATTTCCCCAGACATATGAATAGCGTTGAATAAAGAGCTGAGAGTATTTAGAGTAATTCGGAGTTCTTTCACTTCTTTACAAAACCTAATTACTGCTAAATCCAAAAAATGTGCATAACAATGTACATACAAAGCTCTTGGCTCTTCTTTTTTGAATTCTGCTGCAATTTTATTAAATTTCCCCCTCAAATTTATGGTACTATCATAGGCCTGGCCACATATTTTACTCAAATCAACTCCAATTTGCTGAAGGTAAGTTATGATGGTTCTATGTAAGTTAGTCCCAGTCATCTCTTCAACATCTATGAAACCCAAGAATCTTTCTTTTATTAAGATAGCCTTTGACATTTTTTGTGGGTATCTTACACAAATCGAAAGCTGTTCTGCAGTGGCACTACCAGTTGTCTCATCACATATTATCGAAAAAGCTGGCGAGACATTGATTTCATTCACAATATCTTGCAGCATTTCGGTCTTTATTATTTCAATAATATCATTTTGAATCTGTGTACTATTATAGAAGTCAATTTGTGAATTCAGAAGTCGGAATATTTCCTCTCCTTTATCTTTTGCTCTGATTTCTAACAATTCTAAAAAATTGCCTTTATTCACAGTTGAAACTGACTGGTCATTTTCCCCTAATGATAAACTCTGCTTTCCAAGAAATAAAATATTTTCAATTATAAGCTGTAGGTACTTTTTATTTCCTTCAATCTGTTTTGAATGAATAGATACATTTTCATTGACAGCTTCATCACAAAACTGGTATTCCCTCCAAAACTGCAATGACTTCAAATGCATTTCACTTTTTTCATGCTTTCTGAATTTTTCCAGAGTCTTTTTCCAATTAGAAATTCCTTGGGCTGCTAATGATTCTTCTCCACAACTAAAATATTTTTGGCAGAACAACTGGCATGAATAACAGAATATCACATCTTTTTTAATACTGTTTTTCAAATGCTGGAAATTTGAACACCAGGATTTTTTAATATTTCGTGATTTATCTTTAACTTTTAGTACTTTGGATGTAAATTTTGGATGACGTAGTCCATCACTTATTTTCACAGATTTCATGTTGTATGTAGCATCTTGGTTTGACACTTGATCTTTTTGTACTTCTACACTGGGGCCAACCGTATTCTGATGGGATATTGATGAAGACGGTGAAAGGCTTGGCTGTTCACTATTAGCAACACTAGTACTTGATTCACTGGGTAAACTCTTAGAAATGTTTGGGAGATAAAAACAAAAACAATTGTTTAAGCAGTAATCAAATGATTAAAATATTAAACATATCTATTTTAATAACAATAAAATAGCTATGTTGCAATATGAGCTCCACTAGGGGGAAACATTAACAATTATTTATAATGTAAAGTTGCAATCTAGATTCAGCATTAATAATATGTTCAAAGAATCTTGGGGCATCTGGGTGGCTCAGTCAGTTAATTAAGTGTCTGACTCTTGATTTTGGCTTGGGTCATGATCTCACCTTTTGTGAGATGGAGACCCCTTTTGAGCTCTGCTCTGTCAGCGTGGAGCCTGCTTGGGATTCTGTCTCCCTCTCATTCTGCAGCTCCCCTGCTCACACGCACTCTCTCTCTCCCTCAAATTAAATAAATAAACTTAAAAAAAAAGTTCAAAGAATCTTTTGGTAGGTAATTGTAATTAAAATAATTTTTATTGCTCATGTCACTAGAATATTGAAAAAAGTACTAAAGAACCCAGAGGAAAAACTATGACTAATAATACTTATGTTTAAATGTTCTTATTAATAATTTCAAGTCAGACCTGAGATTTAGGAAACTGAATATTAAAAGATGTTTATTGCTCAACCTTTTTAGCTCTAAGATGAAAACAGGAATGAATATGCTCATATATATATATATACACACACACACACACAAATATACTTAAGAAAAGACAGCATCAAAAAAAGAACAAAACTTACATCTATAATGACATTTGCTGTTACTGAAGAAACTGTATCTGCTGAAATAAAATAGAGTATCATCAATTCAAGATCTTATACTATAATCTATAAAATAGCATCATAAACCCCAATTGTTTATTTCATATCAGACAACAAAAACAAACAGAATAGGGGCATCTCAGTCGGTTAAGCATCTGACTTCAGCTTAGGTACTGATCTCACAGCTCGTGGGTTTGAGCCCTGCGTTGGGCTCTGCTTCAGGCTCAGAGCCTGGAGCCTGCTTCAGGTTCTGTGTCTCCATCTTTCTCTGGTCCCTCCCCTGCTCATGCTCTGTCTTGCACGCGCTCTCTCTCTCTCTCTCTCAAAAACAAACATTAAAAAAATTAAAAACCACAACAACAAACATAGAATAGACAGATTCATCAAGGATGGGAAAACAGTGTATACGTCAAATATCTTTATATCAATTTTACCTTGTATGATATCAGAGTTCATGATGGGTAGGGAAACATGAGTATCTGCCAGTGACACTATATTGCTTATAATTGGAGTTGTATCTTTCTTTGGAGAAAAGAGCCCAGTTGAAGCATCATGTACTGTGGAAACATTTACTGATAAAAAGAAAAAGATTTCTCAAAAACCAGGCAGAATCAATCAACCAGAAAGCACTGTTTAATAACAAGTATTTCAACAAATAATGGAAATATCTAATAGGTTTAGGTATTGCTATATATGGAGTAAGGCTAAGAAATAGGTAGGTTCTTTAGGATAACACAATAATCTTAAACTGGTAATTTATATTTTCTATTATTTTATATATTTTACCGTTACATACAATTTCACAGTTCTTTATATCATTTGCTCGAAATTTCAAGCAAATCTTTACATGAAATTACCCATGAAGAACAGAAAAGAGATTCCTACAGAATCTCCTAATGGATATCATTTCTAACACTTCCAAGATTCTTACCCCTCAACATGAATGGAGCTAGACTAGTGTCTAAGCTTATACTGCAGAGATTTCTAAAATAAGCCACTTTACATGATGTACAAGCCCCAGGGGCATCATTCACTTTATCATCTACATAAATAGCACCAGTTGTTCTATAGGAGGCTCTTTGACAGAATACAAAGTTGGCTCTGGGTTGTGGTTTTCTACTTGTGAACTTAATACTATTTCCAATGAGCTCTACTTCCTGTAAAAAAATATAACTACTAGCCTTGTTTCTACAAAGCAGGGATGAGTACAAAATTCTACACTCTAATACAATGATCCACATAAATAAATATTAAGTCTATAGTGATGAAGTAGCCTTCCTTTTATATAAAACTACTGGAGAACTTTTTTTGCAACAAGTTTTGCACCGTTTAGATTTTTAAGTCAGTTTAATTTTGAGATGAATCAAGGTTATAAATTAAAGGAAAGCAGTAATATTCTTCAATAGTTTCTAAACCTCTGATAACTGCTAAATAAACATTACCTGTGGAAGATTCCATCTTAGCTTTATTGTAAGCAGAGAAACAGTTAATTGAACAGAAAAAGTCTGTCTTCCCCAAGTCATTGGTGGTCTCAATCATTTCATCTGAGGGCTTCAATGATTTGCAAAGAACAGATGTAAGTGTTTTGGTTGGTTTCTGTTTAGAGATTAAAGTAATATTCATATTCCCAGTATATGATATATATTGTTAACAAGCAAAACATACCCACCATTACTGTTCTTAGCTGAAATATAATAAGTAATGATGACGAAGCCACATTTTACACTTTCCTAAAAGCCAGGAAAAAAAGGCACTGCAGGGGTGCCTGGGTGGCTCAGTCGGTTAAGCGTCCAACTTCAGCTCAGGTCATGATCTCACGGTTTGTGGGTTCGAGCCCCGCATCGGGCTCTATGCTAACAACTAGCTCAGAGCCTGGAGCCTGCTTCGGATTCTGTGTCTCCCTCTCTCTCTGACCCTCCCCTGCTCATGCTGTCTCTATCTCTCTCTCAAAAATAAATAAAAATATTAAAAAAAAAAAAAGGCACTGCAGATTACAATGACTATAATGAGGGAAATAGATCAATCCAATAGATAACTGTGTTATGTCTCAGATATATATTAGTCACAGCAGAAATACATATGCAAGCAATGAAGGAGGTCACAGAAGATGTTTATCAATCCAGGCAATTAAAGCCAACTGGATAAATAAATAAGTCTTAAAATTATATCTCTTACCTCAATTCCACTTTAGATATAAACTCAGGGAAGCCTTTTATTGGTGCTAAGGAGGAGCCAGAAAAGGGTGCTTAAGACAAGTTGTAACATGCTGTGGGAATTACTGTTTTTCTAGGCTAACTTCATGGTAAAAATTGCAAGCATATTGTAAGAAGGCAGCACATAAGCAGTAAGATATATAGAATACAGTGCATTCAGTAAACACTAAGTGTACAAAGGTAAAGGATATAAATTGTGAGGTTCACCATCTATTGTTTTTACTGAAAGGGGAATCCTCATTCCCAGACTATGGCAATGGTGAAAAAGAACTGCTTTGGGGGACATAAAGTGCAAAGACAATCGAAAATATATAGGTTTTCTTCTGTGAAAGAATAGGATATTGGCAAAGGAATAATGAAACAAAAAACAGTCTAACTTTGAAAATTTTTACCCTTTATTAGTATGACTTTTTATATTGAGACACCCCTAACAATTTGCCAATATTTACCATTAAGTAATAATAGTACTATATATCATCTGTAGTTAATTGATTGTTCATATGGGAAAACTAATTATTAATTTACTCTATTAAGAAGATATGGGGGAAACAATGTGGTCAACGTATAACTATATCAAACAACCCACTTAAAAAAAAGTCACCCCATTTTTAGATTCATAGATTTGTTTTCTAATTTTTTTTTTTAATTTTTAAAATTTACATCCAAGTTAGTTAGCATATAGTGCAATAATGATTTCAGGAGTAGATTCCAGTGATCCATTCCCTATAATACCCAGTGCTCATCCCAACAAGTGTCTTTCTTAATGCCCCTTACCCATTTACCTCATCCCCCCACCCACAATCCCTCCAGCAGCCTTCAGTTTGTTCTCTGTATCTAAGAGTCTCTTATGTTTTGTCCTCCCCTCCGTTTTTATATTATTTTTGCTTCTCTAATTCTTGATTACAGTTAACTAACAATATGGGTTTTCTCCATTATCTCTATTACAATACTATCTTATTTGTATGGTGTAGCGTTAAATGGTGCTTTTTAAATTCTTTAACCCAAATCAGCCCTGCCCCATCACATAGGCTGAGTAAACTAGGTACTCAAAACAGGCTCCTAAAAACAGGACAAAGCCTATTTAAGTGTGAGTGATAAAGAAGGAAAAGATGGAATGGCTCCTATGCCTTCCATTCTCCCATTTCTGGTCCAAAGGCAAGATACTCTCATGGTGTGGACATTCTGCCATAGAAAAGAGGTGGCTCACAAATGACCTATTTGAATTGTTCAGACTTGTTGAGCATCCCATCTTCAATTGCTTGGTTTTAAGGAAGAATTTATGGAGAATTTGAGTTGGGTCTCAAAACATCATCTGAACAAGCAAGACAACAGTCCCACCTCATCAAAGGGGCTCAGACCACTAACTGTGTTAATCTCATTTAGTCCACCAAAGTAGAACCAGCTTCTTTGCTCTCAGAACCAATCACCCAAGGCTCTCCTATCAGAAATAGAGGATTATTTCTCACAAATTCAGAAAAGCCTGTGACATTCTTGATGCATTTTAACCTTGCTTAGGGTGTAAGAAAACACAAAATTAAAAACACCTTTGTGGTTGAGTCTTAATGACCAGTAGGCTATTGTTACTTCTGCTATCTATAATCTCAGTTTATAAACAAGCTTCTATCTGCTTGGCTTTTCTTTAAGGCAAGATGATCATCCTGAGATTTTTTTTAGGAAAATCTCCATATAGCATTTATCATGAATTGCTATTTAAGAGGAGCTGTCAGAAGTCTTTCATTTCTTCTCCTTCATTGTCTTACTAAATGAAACTATTCACAGTAGTACTAAAATCTAATCCCCACATTTTCCTAAAGTGGAACCACTCACAAGCAAACTAATGGAAAGAACTCTATCTTGATTTTTCATCTAGTCCCATGCAAATTCAAATGGAGTGGTCCTTACTTTATGCAACAGATCTTTATTCTTACCTGCTTATATGCTGTCATACCCTTTGAACTAGTAAAGTAATGGGACTGGCCTTTCATTGGAAGCATACAGAACAGACTAGACAGTGTGACTATAAGCCCTACAGTTCTCACAACAGATAACAAGGAGGCTGTTCAAATGAAACTGAAGAATAGGCATTACAACAAAGATGGTGTTTCACATTCTGGTATTTTAGTCTATACTGAATCTAGAATTTTAAAAAATTTACTGAAATGCCAATATTTAAGCAAAATAATCAGAATCCCTAAAGATTAAAAAAAAATTGCAACTTACAACAGTAGTCTTCTGACACATGCTGCACTTGGTTAAACTGTTATTAGTACATATGGTAACAAATGCTTTTCTCTTTTCTTCATATGATGAAAGACAAGACTGGCTGCAAAAATTTTTGCTAGAGGTATTATCTTCCAGCTGGACACTTATCACATCCTTTAGATTTAAAATGTCTCTAAAAATAAAAACAAGGGCACTATTAAACACTTTTATAAGTTAAAGCACACTCTCAAGTAACCCTCTCCCATTTTCATCTACCTGAGGAGTGTGCAGCAGCAGTAATAGCCTTAAAATAAGAAAACCTAAATTTGGTATTTAGTTCTAGGACTTACATTCAGCAGTGATGGATAAGTCATTTATATTCTCAAACGTTAATTCCTTCATCTATAAAATAGGGTCTATAAATTTTTTGGTAATGTTTATTTATTTTTGAAAGAGAGAGAGATTATGAACTGCAGAGGGGCAGAGAGAAGGAGATCTAGAAACCGAAGCAGGGTCTAGGCTCTGAGCTGTCAGCACAGAGCCTGACGTGGGGCTTGAACTCATGAACTGTGAGATCATGACCTGAGCCAAAGTCAGATGCTTAATTGACTGAGCCATCCAGGCACCCCTAAAGTAGGGACTATAAAGCACATCTGAGAATGCAGTTTTGAGGACTACCTAGTCTGTATAAGTTAGTGCTAGTCATAACACAATCATGAGAAATCACATATTCATACATGACCAAATTTGGAATCTACAAAAGATACAAAGTACAGTCTATAAAATTCCAGGGATCCTCCAGAGATTTTCAGGGGGTCCACAAAATCAAAACTATTTTCATATTAAAATGTTATTTGTCTTTCTCTCTGTGTTAACATTTCAATTGATGGTATAAAATCAATGATGGACCACTGCAATTCCACTCCCAGATATGCACCTCAAAGAACTGAAGAGGAACACTCAAAAAAGGATAGACACATGCATGTTCCTAACAGCACTATTTCAAATAGGTAAAAGATGATGCCAGGCTGGCTCCATCAGTAGAGCATACGACTCTTAAACTCAGAATTGTGAGTTCAATTCCCACGGTGGACCTGGAGCTTACTTTAAAAAAAAAAAAAAAAAGGCTAAAAGACGAAAGTAGCCCAATGTTCAAATCAATGAATGGATAAACAAATTGTGATATATCCATACAGTGGAATGTTATTCAGCTATAAAAAAAGAAGTACTGATATACATGCTATAACATGGATAAACCTCGAAAACCTTATGCTAAAAGCCAGACACAAAGGGTCATATATTTATGATTCCATTAACATGAAATATCCAAAATAGATAAATCCCCAGCTACAAGGCAAACTGCTTAATGGATATAGCATTTTACTTTGGAGTGACAGAAATATTTTGAAGTTAGACACCTTGAGTGTACTAAACATTACTGAAATAGCTTTTTGTTATGTGAATTTCACCTTAATAAACTGGGAGGAAAAAAAAAATGCTGGGTAAAACGTTTGCCAGAGCCTTAGCACAAATTAAGGCACTTGTACCAAGATGTCTTAGTACTTGTTACTCACTGCCATACATTCAGTGTAAAAATCATTTACTTTATTAAACTTCATCCTTAACCTCTTTTCAGTATTCTGTGGTGAAATGGGACATAGGCATAAAGTACTTCCCCTGCACACTTAAGTTTGACGGTTGTCTCAAAGAATATCTCATGTGGGAATGTTAACAGTTACAACCTGAGGTAGTTACTTTTTTCATGGAACACATTTTTACTTGAAAGAATAAACTATTATCTAGGAGTGGGTATCTGGCAAATATTTTCTCAAAAATGAATAGAGTGACTGTAACTTCAAGATAAACAACGGGCGGTATTCATTGCCAATGATAAAACTTGAGCTTTCATTGAAAATTAGAATTTTTGGGTACCTGGGTGGCTCAGTAGGTTAAGCATTGGACTCTTGGTCTCAGCTCAGGTCACGACCTCACAGTTTCATGAATTTGAGCCCCATGTGGGGTTCTATGGTGACAGTGTGGAGCCTGCTTGGGATTCTCTCTGCCCCTCCCCCACTCAATGCTGTCTTCCTCTTTCATTCTTAAAATAAATAAATATGCTTAAAAAATTAGAATTTTGGAAAATTTGCCGCCTCCAACTTGATTGCTTCCCAATAGTTAAACTTTCCTGATGAGATTAGTGGTGATGATGAGGATTATTTCTTGGGATGGTGATTTTTTTTTTCAAGCGAATGTGATTTTTGAAATATTGCATAAAGAAATATGTCAACATTTAGAAGATCTGTGTAACTCAGTGAACCATTATTTTCAAATTATGACAGCAGGTAACAAAAATCATTCATTCATGGGTAAAAAAAAAATTCAAAGTATAAACAGACCAATAATTTTAACTTAACACAGACCAATGAATTTTAACCTAACAGTACAAAAAATTCATTGATATGGTTTAAGATTCCACATTCCAAATAACCTTTAAGAACTAATACTTGGTGGAGAGTCAAAGTGCATCCACAAAATCTAAAAGGCTATTAAAACACTCTTCCCTTTTCTAATTACATATTTGTAGGACCAGATTTTTTTTTTTTAAACTTAAGCCAAAACAACACATTCCAATGAACTGATATAAAGGCAGATATGAAAACTCAGCCAGACATTAAAACGGTTTGCAAAACTAATAAAATCATGTTCACTAAATGTTTCTTAAAATTTCTTCTCACCAAATTAAAAAACACATATGGCTATTTTTCATTAAAAACATTATTTATGTAGTGGTGCCTAGGTGACTCAGTCAGTTGGGCATCCAACTCCTGATTTTGGCTTAGGTCATGATCCCAAGAGTCACTAGACTGAGTCCCACGTCCATGCGTCCCACGTCCATTCTGAGCAAGCAGCCTGCTTGAGATTCTCTCTCTGCCCCTCTCCCCCACTCTCAAATAAATTTTAAAAAATATTATTTATGTCAACATGCACGGAGTTATTAATTTTAAATGAGTTATTAGCTTAAACATTTCTGTTTTAATTTCGAAGTATATATTGGTAGACATAACCTATAAAGTAAAGCTCTCTGGCTCTTCAAAAATTTTTAAGAGTGTAAAGGGGTCCAGGAACTAGAATGTTTGAGGACCGCCATATCTGGCTACTGATAACTCTCAGAATAATTATCCAAATGAAATACTCCTAAAATCGACACTATTTTAACACTTCAACATTTACAAATCTTTAGTGTATTATGATCTATCAAAAATAACAGGTTCATTTCATGATCACAAATCAGTCATTTTACTGATTTAAAATACAGCTCTAATGCAGTATCTGGGTTGTGCTATCCTTGTACTTCATTTGACAAAAATTCTTCTAGGTTGCTCTGAGTGCCAGCTAGTGTTTAGGCATTGGGAATATAAACAGGAGTATGATCTGGTTCCTAATCTCAAGAGGTTCACAGTCTAACCGGGGCAGTATCAATTTTTTAAAATATTAATGTTATGATTAATGTCATGGGAATTATGAACATTATTAAAATACAGACCATGGAACAATTACTCTGAGTGGGTGGGGGTTAGTAAGAGAGGAAGGAATGGTGTGGGAATAGATAAGAAGTAAAGATATTTGAGGCAGACCTTTAGGACAGAAATTAGCCAGATGGAAAGGGAGGCAAAAGAAACTGCATCGGCAGAAGCATGGAAGTCTGAAAACGCTTACTGGTTTTTACTGCTACCAGTATACTAGATTGCTGGTTTCTAACCTACTAAGGCCTGATAAATACAAAATTTTAAAATGTATTTTCTTAAAAGTGCCGACAATTACCTTAAATTAACTCCTAAGCATAGGACTGAACAACTTTCCTATGTATAACTGTTATAGTTATATATTAGTGCACAGGGATATTCTGAACTCTGTTGATGGTTTTAGGATTTCCTGTTGGTTTCACTTGGGAAACTAAGGTGCAGAAACGACAGTTCTTCAAAAGAAGTCTTATCTTTCTAACATAATTTAAAATGTCATTTTCAAAGCTAACTTTCGTCTGGGCCATGAAACAGAATAAAAACTGCATTAACTCAAAACAAATTTTAAATCTCTATAAAAGAAACCTATATTTAAAAAAACTACAAGAGAAACAAGGACTGATAATTAGCTAAATACTGAGAACTGTATATTAATACAAGATGCTAATAAATGCAGAGAAAAAAATTTTTCAAAAAAAGCACAGGTTACTATGAATAATGGAGGGCCTCTCCTAGCCTAAGCACTACCACCTTTCCACCAACCTATGCAATAGTATTTTGCATCAAAAAAAAATTATATTCCAAAGAAAGTAAAACTTGCTTCTTATTTTTGCTCATACTGGATTTCTTTGTCTTAGAGAACAACTTACACACTATATCTTTCCTGTTTCAGCCTTTCAATCTACTTGGGAGATCTCCTTAAGATGTACAATGGGCCAAATACAGTAACATGATACCTTAACTTCTCAGGGACTCAATTTCCTCAAAACCAAAAGAAAATGTTTGGACTGGATGATCTTACAGTCCCTTTAAGTTTTATGTTTCTGCAGAGAAAGAAAGCAGACTGAAGAAGTGCTTTATTGCTCTTAGCAAAAAAGAAAGAAGACATAGTATTGCAGGGTGGAAAAGCACAAGAGAAAGGTGAGTTTCAGGGTCGAAGACTTGCAGCAAAGGGTAACACCAAAGCACCAGCCAAAGAAGGAGCTGAAGCAACCAATAAAAAGGGTTTGTGAGATTGTTAGGAGAATAGTAATAGTCATAATTAACACTTACTGAGGTCTTATTACATGCCAGTATTGTTCTGATCTCTTAAATCTATTATTTAAAGCTCTTAATTCTTATGTACACTGAATTAAACAGATGGGAATATTAAGAAAGAAGTTCTCAATGCTTTTCAAACTTTAGCATTATATATGTATCATCTGAGGACACAAGCATTTCTGATTCAGTGGGTCTGGGTAAGAAAGACCTGAGATTCTGTGTTTTTATTTAACAAGTTCCCAGATGATACTAATACAGCCGCTGTAAGTTGCAAAATATAACCGTAAATGAAGAAAGAAAGATTCAAATTATGGCAATCTGATTCCAAAATAAGGTATCTGAAAGGAATTTATTGTATTTACAAGCAAAATTGGTGACCTATATGTTTTCTTTGTTCTGAAATAAAAACATTTAAAATTTAGCAATAGCATTTCATGAACATTAACAAACCAGAATTATACTATGATAGAAGTCGCAGAGCACATTGATCTATGTTTCAGGGTAGAGTTCAAAGTTCTGGACATTTTCCACTAATTCATTATGAAATTACTACTATTTCCTTTCTCTGCATCTAAATTGCCTTACATATGTAAAAAAAAAAAAAAAAAAAAGTTAGCAATAAAAACCCCAACAGTAGCTCACAGAAATCTTAAAAAGATTGTATCTCTCCAGTTATGTTTACCTGTGACTATTCAATTTTGTGAAAGAATCAAATAACTTCTTGCAAAAGAATCAAATAACTTCATTACAAGAAAAAATTATATAATTTTATACCTTAGAAGATCCAAATTAACTGTTATATGATTAATGTGTTAGTGCGTCCTATACAGTTAAATGATAAAATAGAATGGGTGTATAATAAATCCCACTTATAGAGAATTTCAAATGAAAAGAATGGAAAAGTTTCAGAAGTCACACTATTTAAAGTTGAAGAGAAATAAAACTCCTTACATTTTAATTTGTGCAAATCTCTCAACAAGAAAACTATTTCTGAAGAATCTAATAAAGGAAGTGAAAGCAGAAGCAGCTTTTCACTAAACCAAGGTGATACTTCTTCAGAAAAAATGAAAATGTAGGTAATTACAACCAAGACTTTGATCCAGATCTACGTAAGGAAATAAAAGGGGGCATAATTTAGAATTATATACTTTGAGCAGTTAGAACAAGTTCTCTTGGGAAGAGCTGGTGAATTGGCAGATGAAATGTATTCAGTGATGCACAACGTGGAACAGAAGAGCTGAGTCGATCCCTTCCTCTGATAAGCAGTTTGCCCCTTCTGAAGAATTTTTTTACAACCAGAACAGGAAACCTGAATAGCTGTGGTTGAAACTGAAGGAAGCATTTTATTCATGCCAGATGATGTCAGAGAAAGCTGAATGCCTGTAGTCAACTGTGGAGCTATAAATACAAAACAGGAAGGAAGAAAATTAGTATTTACATAAAATTAAGTATGCACTCTTTCATTTTCTTTTAGAGGTTACTTATCCTGGACATGAAACCCAAAACAAACAATGCACTATTCAAACATATTCTAAAAAAGTAGAATAAATTGGCTATTACACTGGTTGGAATAAAATGATTCTATTACCACTGTCTGAAAATGTAGTGTTTGTTTTCAGTTCATTCTCTTGAGTTTTGGGCTGCTGGGCTTGACAATACTCCTAAAAAAGAGATGAAAATAATGAATACACTGTGTATAAAACCAGCAGTTATTCAATAGAAAGTGACAAATTATGTTTAAGTCTGTTCAGTGAATTGTATAATTAAACTGAACCACAGTACATACGCAAACATTCTCCTTTTGGTGACCTTGGACTGACAACACTGATAAATTACACTTTGTGCTATCATAACTAGATGTGATTTCAATAATTTTTGTTCACACAGCCCTTCAGGAGCTACTAGAAACAGAGGAGACACACTCAATAATGACATCTATTTTCCCTCCTTGCTCTAGTCATTAATAGCTAATTGTCTTCATAAAGACCATCAACACAAAAGTTGTTGGACTGGGCTAAATGAGTCTTAACAGAGGAGGTTTTTTAAGAGCAGCAGACAAGTTATCTAAACGTGATTTATGTGTTTGAATATTCAGTCTATGGACATTAAGAAGCAGCAGATACTTCCTAGATGGACAACATTCCCCTGTGTCACCAAGTCAATGAGAGTCATATCCTTACTTGATACTGACTTACTTTAGGCTATTTCTAAACTGAATATTAGAAATAAATTAAAACTGAATTTACTTTTTTTTTCATTAGAAATTTCAGCTGGTTCATATATAAACATTCTAAGGAAATTTGGCCCTACTACAGAATACTCACAGCTTAAATCAGTTTATCATTTATAGGTTCTTTAGCATATAATATATCTAAAAAAGTTTAAGAATAAACATGAAACTAATTTGGGTAAGATAATTACAAAGAAAATATAGAATTCTAAGAATTTAAAATGTACTAATTCTACTACTTTAACCGAGTCAGTAGCATAAAAACATAGAATTAGTTACTCATATGGTTTTAAGTTAAGAAAAATGAAAAGAAAAATGTATTACCCTTAGCTAGGCCCATAATATCCTAGGCAATCCTTTTATCAATCTAAAAACCCAATTTCAAACATCTATTCTTCTCTCAAATCTTATTCTTGCATATAGTTGTGATGGCACTTGACACAATATACCTTATATTATTTGACCAACTACTTTAGGGAAGATAAAAGATTTAAGATTTTCTTTTCTTCTTTTTTTTTTGAAGTTTATTTACTTTGAGAGAGAAAGGGAGAACACTTACATGTGTGAAAGTGAGTAGAGGAAGGGCAGAAAAAAAGGGTGAGAGAGAATCCCAACATGTGGGGCTCAAACTCACAAACAGTGAGATCATAACTGGAGCCAAAATCAAGAGCTGGAAGCTTAACTGGTTGAGCCACCCAGGCACTCCAAGATTTAAGATTTCAAACCCATAAGCCAGCATCTGCATAACTGGAATGTATACGTAAACGCTGTTCTAGAAAAAAGAAAATAAAGCAGAATACTTACCTGAGCATTGTCAGGTTCCGTCTTAATTTCATCTAGCTGCTCCAGTTGTGGTGCCACTGCTTTGGCACATTCACCATCTATCGGTGACTCTTTCATCTTAGTATCTGATGCAAAGGAATCCACCAGTTCCAAACTAAAGATTTTCTTCTTTGGGAATAGTATCCAGGTTCCTAAAATATGAATTGATGGAGAACCTGATTTTAAAATTAGTCCTTTTAAATACAGTAAGTTTCTGGAAATACAAGGTGTTTTTAGACACCTTGGACTCAAGGTTCCTTCACAGTACCAACACTGGCTTTCTTCCTTTCATTCATTATTCTCCAATACGGCTTTGCTTTATAATTCTCTGGTAGACATATCTATGCTTTCTTCTGGAACTAGTCTTCTCTACTTCTACTCCCCCAGGCCTGACTACAGCATAAACCCACCAAACTCACAAGTTTACTTTTAACTTACTAAATAGTCTTAGGACTATTTACTAATGTAAAGTCTTCCATCCAAGGTTAATTCAAATACCTGTAGTCACTACCTCTCCCCCAACATTGCCTTTCTATAGGGCCAATTATCTGTGTCTTTTGCAACTCTAATTCCTCTCCTTATTGGCTTTTCACATAGAAACATTCAAATACATTAATGGATCCAACTTAAAAAATTTTTAATGTTTACTTTTGGAAGTGAGACAGAGCGTGAGCAAGGGAGAGGCAAAGAGAGGGAGACACAGAATCCGAAGCAGGCTCCAGACTCTCAGCATAGAAAGATCCAACTTTTAAAGCTATTGCCCTCTCCCTGACCATGCCCTTCCTTCATCCTTGAAATTCTCCCTTTCCTTGAATCCTATGACTCTAAAACCTATTTCTCCTATCTCTTTGCTGGTCCTTTTTTTTTTTTTTTTTAAAGTTTATTTATTTTGAGAGAGAGAGAGAGAGAAAGAAAGAGCATGAGCATGGGGAGGGGCAGAGAGAGAGGGAGAGAGAATCCCAACTCTAATTTTAGGTTTCACAGGGTCAGCAAAGAGCCTGCTGAAGGGCTTGATCCCACAACCTGTGAGATCATGACCTGAGATCAAGAATCAGATCCTTAATCGACTGAGCCACCCAGGTGCCCTACCTTCTAAATAAGTTTTGAATCTATTTTTCCATTACACCTCATGCCTGCCTTCCCCCAACCCCCATCAATGGATTCCTTTTTGAGAACTAAATAAGACAGCTAAAATCCAAAATCACAATATAAAAGATTGTTGTGCATTAACAATAAATAAAATAAAAAATAATAAATGTTTTATTATTTAAACATTAAAAAATAATGCCAGGGGGGCCTGGGTGACTCATTCGGTTCAGTGTCTGACTCTTGATTTTGGCTCAAGTCAAAATCACAGTTTTGTGATATCACAGTTTGTGAGTTCGAGCCCCACATTGGGCTCCAGGCTGACAACATGAAGTCTGCTTGGGATTATTTCCCCCCCCATCTCTGTACCCCTCCCTGGCTCAAGCTTGCACGATCTCTCAAAATAAACTTGAAAAAAAAATTCTATTTTATAGCCCTTGAGAAACTATAAAAGTGCCTTTTTTTAATGTTTATTTTAAGAGAGAGAGAGAGAGCCAGTGCAGAAGAGGGGCAGAGAGAGAGAATCGCAAGCCGGCTCCATGCTGTCAACATAGAGCTTGACCCGGGGCTTAACTCCAAGAACCATGAGATCATGACCTGAGCTGAAATGGAGTCAGATGCTTAGCTGACTGAACCATCCCCACAAGTGCCTTTTGATAGCCTAGTCCCAAGGCCTCTTTTTCAAGGACAGACCGGTTCCTTGTATCTTCTTTTCTCTCATCTGAGATCTCTCTCCTCCCTTTTCTGGTAGCTTTTAGTAAAATCCGTTATCTCAAAGGAGAATATTAAATGAATACTTAAGGCCTACCTGTGAAGTGCAATAAAAGCTCATACGGCCTCTGCCCAGCCCATCTGAGCACTAAATACAACTAGCAAAGTAAAACTCACTGGAAATTAACTACTAGATGATTATTCACCTGAAAGAAAATATGCAAGTCTAAAAATATATTAAGGGGCACCTGGGTGGCTCACTTGGTTAAGCGGCCGACTTCGGCTCAGATCATGATCTCACAGTTTGTGGGTTCAAGCCCCATATCAGACTCTGTGCTCAGCTCAGAGCCTGGATTCTGCTTCCAATTACGTAACACACTCTCTCTGCCCCTCCCCCACTCCTGCTTTTTCTCTAAGATTAAATGTTTTTAAAAAAATAAATAAAAAATAAAAATATATTAAAAAGTACCTACTGGGGTGCCTGGGTGGCTCAGCCGGTTAAGCATCCAACTACAGATCAGGTCATGATCTTGCGGTTGGTGAGTTCAGGCTCCACAATGGGCTCTGTGCTGACAGCTCAGAGCCTGGAGCCTGCTTCAGATTCTGCCCTCCCTCTCTGCCTCTCTCCTGCTCACACTCACACGCGCGCGCTCTCTCTCATGCTCTCTCTCTCTCTCAGAAACAAATAAAATGTTAAAAAAAAAAAAACAGAAACAAAAACAAGGCACCTATAAGCTTTTGCATCTTGGAATCCCTTCAAGTGTGTTAGTTGTCACACAAATAGGAAAATAACAGAAAACACCCTGAAAGTGTAATAATTAATCTAAAATATGTTTCAGAAGCAGGGGAGAACAGCATAGAACATTTAACTATTAGAAAAACAAAAAGAGCAAAAAACATATATGAATAATAAATCCAGGACTTCCAACATGATGCACATTAATGTAAAATAAGTCCTAGAAACCTTTTTTTTTTTTTTAAGGATTTTACTTTTGGGGTGCCTGGCTGGCTCAATCTTGGGGTTGTGAGTTTGAGCCATGTTAGGTATACTTAATAAAAAAAACTTTAAAAAATATTTTATTTAAAACAATTTTTTAAGTGTATTTATTTATTGAGAGAGAGAGTGCATGCACAAGTGGTGGAGGGCAAACAGAGAGTCCCCCCCACCCCCCCAGGCTTCACACTCTCAGCATAGAGCCTGATGTGGGTCTTGAACCCATGAACCATGAGATCATGACCTGAGCTAAAACCAGTCAGATGCTCAACTGATTGAGCCACTTAGGCACCCCCCCCCCAAATTTTTATTTTTAAGTAATCTCTACACCTAACGTGGGCCTTATATTCATGACCCCAAGATCAAGAATCACATGTTCCTTCAATAAGCCAGCCAAGTGTTGAAACCTCTTTTTAATACAGTCTCTCACCTGTCTTTCCCAACTGAGGCTATACTGTGTAAAGCTGGAGAGTATTAATAGTCCTAGGATAATGTGGCACATATTCCTCATGGTTACTGCTACTTGGTAATAACCAATTAACACATTTTAATATAAGCCAAAGAGGAATATAACCTGAAGCAGAAAACAAAATTCACATTTTTTTAAAAAAAAATTTTACATTTATTTATTTTTGAGAGACAGAGCACAAGTGGAGGAGGGGCAGAGAGAAAAGGAGACACAGAATCCGAAGCAGGCTCCAGGCTTCGAGTGGTCAGCATAGAGCCTGACGTGGGGCGTGAACTCACAAATTGTGAGATAATGATCTGAGCCGAAGTTGGTTGCTTAACCTACTGAGCCACCCAGGCGTCCCAACATGTTAATTCTTAAAGTAAAATAGAAGACTGCAAAGAAATTGAAAGCTCTTAGGAGTTATTTCCAGACATACAAACAGACCTCCAGAAAGAATGTATGCACTTTCCTCCTGGAAAATTGGTACAATATGGCATATATAAGCTTGATGCTCCAAACTGCTTACCTTTAATCTTGTAATTTTTCCCCACTATACTGTGTTCATACTGTTCTCCTACCTGTAAAGTCATTTTTGCCTATTCAAATCCTACTCAGCTTCTAAACCAACTCAGCTCCAAGTTTTATCAGATTGCTAAGAATTTAAAATAAAGCTGATAAATCTAGGGATGCCTGGCTGGCTCAGTCAGCAAAGCACGTGACTCTTTTGATCTCTGGAGTCTTGAGTTCAAGCCCCAGGTTGAGTGGAGAAATTACTTAAAAAAAAAAAAAAATCTAGGCAAAACAGAGTAACCTTCAGCATAATAAACCCTCCTACTGAAAACAATGATAAAATTAACAGGCTTTACCCCGGAAGGTACTTTCCAGAGCAGAGGAACAAGCCCAAACAGAAAACAAGGGCATACTGAGCTACCTGGGTCGCCAAAATAGCTGGAACTCTAGAGGCACAAGGGAGAGGTGGGAACCAAGGAGAAATAAGCCCCCCAATATGCATACAAATACCCTCCTTCTCCACTTATTAGCTGACTTCTAAACTGCTTACCTACAGAGTATGGTTCCAAAAAATATAGCAGACAATAGCAACTGGGAGTCTAAAGAGCTGAAAAGAGATTATAGTAGCTTTGCAGAGCTAAGAACAAAGCTGAAATTTAAGCCTAGCAAAGGTAGAGAGGACTTGGTAAAGACCTCTCGACTTGGTCTTTACCAAGATCTTGGTAAAGATCTCGACTTGCAGTTGAGACTCTAGGGGCACCATGTGCTCGAGTACAGACAACAACCCAGAAGAAAAGACCACTCACTAGAAGAAAGCAAACCAAAATAAATCAGCCCTAACAAGGCCTAACACTAATCCTCAACAGGATTAATGTAATCTATAACTATCTGCCTGCCTACAGGAAACAGCACTCTCTGGAGTTAGTGCATTTAAAGTCCTTAAATTTTTTCATCCACAATGTTCACAATACAATAAAAACGTATGGGTACACCCCAACCAAAAATTCCCAAATAACACTGATCAAAACCAATTAAAAGAAAAAAGACAATAAAACTGACCTATAGGTGGCATTTATATTAGTATTATCAGGCTAGGTCTTTGATACATTTGAGAAAACAGAGAAAAACACGAAGTTTAGTAGAGTCTTGGAATAATTTTAAAAAAAAGAGTTAATGGAAATTTGAGAATTGGAAAACAGGGAAATTAAGAGTTTAATAGATAAATTTTATATCAATAGTAGAAAGTAGTTCAGACTGATGCATAAAAGGGTAAAAATACAAATTAATATAAGCAACATGTAAGGAGCATAGCAATACATCTATTTACAGATGTAAATAGAGTCCCAAAATAAGAGTAAACATACAATGCAACAGATATAACATTTGAAGAACTACTGGCTGGACAATTTCCCCCAGATGAAGAAAAATATCAAACACCACAAATTCAAGAATCTCTATGAATAACAAATAAGGTAAATAAAGGGAAACACAACTATGCACATTATAGTTACAATGGTGAAAACTAAAAATAAAATCTTAAACGCAGCTGAAGAAAAAAGACATAACATAGAGGAGAAAAATTAGAATAAAGTTGTTTTCTTGTCAGAAACAATAAAGACCCAGGCGCCTGGGTGCTTCAGTTGGTTAAGCATCTGACTTTGGCCCAGGTCATGATCTCATGGTTCAGTTCGTGAGTTTGAGCCCTACATTGGGATCTCTGCTGTCAGCAGGGAGCCTGCTTAGGATCCTCTGTCCCCTTCTCTCTCTGTCCCTCCCCTACTCACATTCTTCTCTTTCTCAGAAATAATAAATTTAATAAAAAAAAGAAACAATGAAGTCCAGGAGCCAATGGATCACCTTTGAGATGCTGGGGGAAAAAAATACTACAAAATTCTCTAGTCAGTAAAAATATCTTTCAAAAATAAAGGTAAAATAAGGACATTTTCAGATAAATGAAAATGAGAATTTATCATAAGCAAACCTATAGTATAGAAATGCTAATGAAAATTCTTTAAGTGAAGTACTCCATGGAAATTTGGTGTAAAGACTGGAAAGGGAAAAGTAAATAAAACTGCTTTTATTTGTTGAGGGCATAATTGTTGTATATACAGAAAACCCTAAGGAATATCTTCTCCCTCTCAATAAAATACTTGAATAAGTGAACTTATAAGGATCATGGGATAATACAACATCAATATTTAAAACTTTTGTCGTCACCACTCCACCACTGTAATAGAGATTTCAGTCAAGTTAATAACAAGAAGAAACAAGAAGGAAAGAAATCTTGAGGGAATAAGTAAAATTGTCATTACTTATAGATGACTGGTTGTATACAATGAAAATCCAAAAGGATCTCCAAGGAATTACGGAAATTATTAATTAAATTTAGGAAGATCAATATTCAAAAATCACTTCTTTTTACTATTAACAATTAAAAATTTTAAAACAACCATTTTCTATAGCATCATAAAACATCAAATACATTTAATGAAATATGTAAAGATATATACAATGAAAACAAAACAATGCTGAGAGAAATTAAAGAAGATATAAATAAATGGAGAAATAAAGCATGCTTATTGTCTTAATACTGTAAAGTCAATTTTCCCCAAATCGAGCTACACATTAGAATCCTAGTTTTTGTGGAACCTGCAAGATGATTCTAACGTATATGCAATGTATACAGAACCTAGAATAGCTAAAAACAATCTCAAAAAAAGAAAAAAGTTGGGAGGACTTACTGTAAAGCTACAGTAATTAATCTAAGTTTGGTGTGGTCACAAGCAAAAAGAAAAGTGACGAATGAGTAAGAAGGAGTATTCCTCTAACATTTCACTTCTTTGCATTATAGTTATTGCTTTATACATGACACTGCAAAAACTTGTTTTATTCACTTGTTTTCTGCAAACTCTTTTACTATCTTGATAGAAAAGCTGGATGGGCACCTGGGCAGCTCAGTCGGTTAAGCATCCGACTTCGGCTCAGGTCATGATCTCACAGCTTGTGAGTTTAAGCCATGTGCTGGGCTCTATGGTGACAGCTCAGAGCCTGGAGCCTGCTTCAGATTGTGTGTCTCCCTCACTCTCTGCCTCTCCACAGCTCACACTGTGTCTCTCACCCTCAAAAATAAATATGAAAAAGAAAAAGAAAAGCTGGAGGCAGAAGGCTAAATGCCTTTCAAACCAAACTAAAATATCCCTGCTTAATTCTATAGGCAACGGGCAGCCACTATTTATGAAGTACTTAGGTACTGGAATTAGAGGCATAATTAGGATGTCCCAATACTCTACCATAAATACTGTGCTAGCACAGTATAATCACAACAATTTAAGTCTATGCAACGCAAAAAGCAGAAAAGAGGGAAGAAATCTTCTAGAAGATAAAATTTGAACTAGCTTTGAAAGTATCTACAGGGGGGCCTGGGCTCCGAAACCGTGGGGGGGGGGGGGGAATGAAAGTGAGCTGAGGAGAGGGGTTAGGAGTGGAGAAAGAGGGAGGCACCTGGGTAGCTCAGTCTGTTAAGCGTCCGACTTCGGCTCAGGTCATGATCTCACAGCTTGTGGGTTCGAGCCCTGCGTCTGGCTCTGTGCTCAGAGCCTGGAGCCTGTTTCAGATTCTCTGTCTCCCTCTCTCTCTGACCCTCCCCTGCTCATACTGTCTCTCTCTCAGAAATAAATAAAAACATTAAAAAATTTAAAAAAAAAATAAAGTGCCTACAAAGGATGATGAAAGGATATTCCAGATATAGACACAGCTTGTGCAAAATGACAAACACGTGGGAACTACAAGAAGTGGAGTTACTGTTAAAGAAAAAGAGTGCCAGTGTAAGGAAATAACGTTGCAAAAGCTGACATGGGTCCTATCAGAAAGGTCCTTGAACACCAAAATCCTTGAACTTATTCTTGTAAATCAGTAGCTTTTGGGGTTCAGCACACATTTCATTCATATTATTTTTAAAACGTACTTTAAAAATCATGAGTTATACTTAATTGTGTAATATACTAAATGTTAAGTATTTTAGAGGCTTCCAAAGCCTCAATTTGTGCCAGATTAACAGTGACCTTCAGAAAATAGCTTTTCCTGCCATTTAGGTGAACATAGTTCAATTCCTTGCTAGCTTTGTCAGTGATGAAGAAGGCTACAGCTTTTCATCTATTCTTTTTGGATTGTGACCTGTTGTATATTCACTCAAAGAAAATCCCGGAATCAAAGTCACTATTTTAGCAACGGCATCTGCTCCTCTAATGCTCTTGCTTCAACCTACAAGTTAAACGGCAAGGGGCGCCTGGCTGGCTCAGTGGGTAGACCATACAACTTTTCATCTTGGGGTTGTGAGTTTGAGCCCCCACCCTGGGTATGAAGATTACTTAAAAATAAAATCTTTTAAAAAAAGGGAGGGGGGGTTAAATGGCAAACTGTTCAATCCTGATACTGCCAGACTTAATTAGTATAGTTCTTATAAGTATTTTTAGTTCTTATTATAAATTTTAAATTCTTCTCTTCCTATGTATTTGTGATGAGGAATACAAATTACTGTCAGGTGTTCCAACTCTTGCTGAAACTGCATCCAAAGAAAGCTAGAAGTGACCGTTTCCAAACACTACTCCATGCAAATGAAAATACTCTCAGTCCCCTGCACTAAAGCAAAATACTGAAATAAAGTGATAAAGATTGCACCTTCATCTAACACCAATTTCAAATTCGAATTCAAGAGTCACACTTTCGTAGTTACTAGTCAATCTCTCTTAGCTGAGACTACGTGTACACGTCTATTTACAAAAGAACTTCCATGATTTCATGATTTTTTTCTTTTTCTTTTCTTTTTTTTTTTTTTTAATTTGAAAAATCACCACTGCTTAATGAAGGAGAGCCACCGGTGCGATCAGATGAATGTTTTAAAGGGGCCGCGGAGAGAGACCAAACGCTGAAAGCCCAGTTACGACGCAGGGGCAGTGGGCGGCGAGAAACGCTGGAAATACTGGACGAAGATCCCCCGACTCTACGGACAAGGTTAAAGAAAACGACAAACACGACCCAGGGGCCTGACCCGAGTTCCCGACTCTCACATGGCGGAAGCCGCACGCAGGGAACCATCTTTAGGACGCCGGCCCGACCCGACGCTTCATCCTCCCTCTGACAGTCGAAACTCTCAGCCCCTTTCCGGCAAGGCGCAGGAATAAAGAACGACAACACTGCCACTTAAGGAGGCTTACTAATTTCTCTCAGGGACGCTCGCCGCGGGACGCTTCTCTAAGGAACTTCGACGCGAAACGGTCACGCAGACCCCGCCTTTTTCCCGCCGAGCTGTGCGTCTGAGCATGCGCAACGCAGCTGGCCGGTCGTAGTCCACTTCCCCTTAGCAACAAAGGGCGGAGGGAGCGCTGTCAGGTCTGGTCTGACCTATGAAGCCTTACTAGATGGCCCCAAATTTGGAAACTTAAAGACTTAGGTAGCGTCGGGATGGACTCAGGAACTGGCAGCTGGCTTTACTGGATTCAAGAGATAGATCTCTTAGCAATTTCTGTAAATCCCAATTTCTTCATCCTTGGGTGCCTGTGTCATAGGCATGTGAAGATTGGAAAGGGAAGGTTGGAAACGTTCCAGGTGCAGAGTAAATTACCAGCAAAAGGAATTAGCTGCAGCGATAGAGAGGGGGTTTGGGCTTTTTCCATTTGGAGGTGCTCTTAGTATATTAAAATAATCCCGAAAGTGTGTAAAAATCATGGTTTATTTTATTTTTAAAAATTTAAATCCAAGTTAGTTAACATATAGTGTAGTAATGGTTTCAGGAGTAGAATTTAGTGATTCATTACTTACATATAACACCCAGTGCTTGTTTCAGCAAGTGCCCTCCTTAATGCCCATCACCCATCTAGCCCATCCTCCCACCCAAGTCCCCTCCAGCTACCCTCAATTTGTTCTCTCTGTTTCAGAGTCTCTTATGGTTTGCTTCCCTCCCCGTTTTTTCAATATTTTCCCTTCCCTTTCCCTATGTTCATGTTTTGTTTCTTAAATTCCACATATGAATGAAACCATATATTTGTCTTTCCCTGACTTAATTTGCTTAGCATAATACATTCTAGTTCCAGCCACAGTGTTGCAAATGGCAAGAATCCATTCTTTCTGATTGCTGAGTAATATTCCATTGTATATATATTCATGGTATATTTTATTTTAAAAAAATTTTAATGTTTATTTCAAAGTCAAGAACCCCGAGATTATGACTTGATCCAAAGTTGGATGCTCAACCGACTAAGCCACTCAGGTTCCCCATTCATGTTATATTTTAAATGCTATTAATAATTAACATTTTCAACACCTAAAAAAGTATAGTATCAAATAATTGTGCTATTCCTAAAATCATAATAGGATTATAAAAGATATATAGAGTTGAGTGATGAATTTATTGCCATCTTGTCTTTGACCATACTTCTTGAGATACTATCAGAAGTCTATGTCCAGTTCAAAAGGTCCTCCTGACCCCTACTGCTATGGTTCCTAAATGTCCTCTGCAGTTAACCTCAAATTCAGACCCTTTAGTGATTCTGAATACTACATTGGTAACTGAAGTTAGTTTCTCCAAGTTATTCTTAAGTTCCTAATATATCTAGTAATTATGTGTATCATTTTATTATTTGTTCTATTTCCTTTGTTCCCTTTCCTTGCCTTCCTTTGGCTAATTTGAACATTTTCTATTATTCCATTTTAACTATTTATTACCATATCTCTTTACATAATTTTTTTAGTGGTTGCTCTAGTGACTGCAATAGACATAATTAACTTTTTATAGTCCATTTAGAATCAGTATTTTACCACTTCAAGTAGAATGTAGAAATATTATCCCTAAATAAATCCATTTATCCTGTCTCCACCCTTTTGTTATAGTTATTTTATGTATTAGAATCATAAGCCTCATCAGGCAGTGTTAATAATTTTTGCTGTCAAACAGAAAATATTTTATTTATTTATTTATTTATTTATTTATTTATTTATTTTTGAGAGAGAGAGAGAGAGAGAGAGAGAGAGAGAGAAGGAGACAGAGAATCAACCCCAAGCAGTCTCTACACTGCCAGCACAGAGCCAATGTGGGGCTTGAACTCATGAACCATCAGGTTCCAGAGGAGAATAGTCTATTATGTTTACTCAGATATTTACCATTTCTGTTCTTCTTTTATTCTTGATGTTCTTGTTTCCTTCAGGTATCACTCCCCTATCTGAAGAACTTCCTTTAGCAATTCTTTTAGAGCAGAACTGTTGCCAAGAAATTATTTTCGTTTTCCTTCTCTAATAATGTCTTTATTTTACCTCCACTCCTGAAGGATATTCTCAATGGATAGAAGCTTATTTCTTGATAGGGTGGGAGAAAAAAAATTCCAGTGAGGTACTGACCATCAAATGACCATCACTGACCTAATCACAATACCTGCATGATGGAGGACTCTGATTCCAGTCTAAGTTATATGATATTAATTTTGACACCTTCCCTCCCTGATCCATCCATTTGTGATGTCCAACGCTTGGACAAATTATGTAAGCTCATAGACTCTCCTTGAACTTAACCTACTTTGATTTGGTTTTCTGTCTCTTGCAGCCAAAAGTCCTGTCTAGAAAATGTACTCATGAGCAACTGCTGTCAACAAATGTGTTTTATTTTCTAAGTTAACACAAGTTTATCTAAGCAAGATAAGCATTGGGTCTATAAGATGTGTAGACTCTTGTTTCTCATAAATGAATGACTTGTGCAAGTAAAAAATATCAATGAAAGATATGCCCTAGGTTTTGTGTAACAACTTCAGGAGAACTGGAGCACTGAGTACACATCCCTGCTTCTGATAATAGGATTGAGAAAATACAACACTATTAAGAAATATTGAATTCTGGTCCCAGGTGAGGAGTTCCACTGAGTGTGCAAACTGCTTTTTCATGGGGCAGTTATCTAATTTTTGAGACATTAATTTGTATTGTGTACTTTCCTTCCCTTGCATCTTTGTCAGAGTGATTTTGGTAAGAGCCAAAGCAAAAGCTGTTGGAAGTCAAGAGCTGTCTTATGTTTTGTAAAAATTCAACCTGACTGAAAAGATTATGAAAGTATCCAGGGAGAGAGAGAGAGAGAGAGAGAGAGAGTGTGTGTGTGTGTGTGTGTTCTGAGGAGATAGGAAAGTGCCTTAGAGAAAACCAAAGAAGAAAGGTTTCAGAAGACTAGGAAGATGGTAAAGGTCCATGGTGTGATGTGAAAAACCTGTACCATGTTCTTTAACAGTGCTGTGGGGAGAAGACTGGACCCTGAGCATAAGGAGTTTTATCCTTGCTGAAGATGGTCATGCCCCAAGCCATGGCCCTGTGGAGAACATGAAAATTGGGGCAGTAGCTGTCTCTGTGGTAACCAATCTGGACTATTGAGCCAATCATTGGAGAGCTTTCTTGATGCTTTGATGGGAGGTAAGGCCCATCCTGGGAACTATGCATACCTCTGGTGGCCTTCTTCTTGAGAATGCCAATAATGACAGATAAATTTTCTGCCAATGTTGCAGTGTGAGGCTTCAGATTTGGATTTAAGTTCATTACAAGAAAATAAATATTATTTTCTCCATGCCTGAATATGCCCTAAAATTCACTGCTGTTACTTCTGGATGAAGCATCAGAACCCAAATTAGTTCCTTGACTTACCTCTTTTGAAGAAGTATTTGAAGAGAGAAGCCCAACAACAGTCAAGCTATAGTCCTAAAATTCCCCAGGATCTCATCGATAATCAGTGGCAATCAAACCCCTAGGAAAACACCTAGATATTAAGAGTAAGCATTCTAGGTGCCTGGGTGGCTCAGTCAGTTGAGCATCCGACTTTGGCTCAGGTCATGATCTCACAGCTCATGAGTTTGAGCCATGCATTGGGCTCTGTGCTGACAGCTCAGAGCCTGGATCCTGCTTCCATTCTGTGTGTCTTTATTTCTCTGCCCCTCCCCCACTTGTGCTCTGTTTGTCTCTCTCTCTCTCAAAAATGAACATAAAAAAAAGTATTATGCGTTGTGTCCAAGAGTAGGAATTCAGAAAGAATGAGAATTAATTCCACAACTTTATTCTTTGTGTTCTGTACCATCCAAAAGGCTTCTTATATATCCCCCCCAACTATAGCCTGTATCACTTTTACAATGGAAAAAAAAAGCTGCATAAATTTATTGGAAAAAAAATCAAGAGTCAAAGAATGATGCAAAATAGTAGTATGAGATTTAACCAGACAGTTAGTACACAGCTAATTGCCAATAACAAGAATGAGTCATAATTCTGTTTGTCTCCTTGATCAGCCCTTTTCCCTCTTCAAGGTTCTTTATGCTGAAGAAAAATTTTAAGAAGCACCCAAATTATGTGCAACATCCTGTCTCAGGACAACTATTTGAAATATATATACTTTTTTTTCCTGGTTATCAAACACACAAAATGAAATGAAACTTTCTGTGTAGGTCTTTCTCTGCCTGACATGCACTTTTCTCTGCTTCTGAAACTGTATACCTTTGTCTCATTACAGCCCATCTCCTAGTAGTTAACACAATACTGGGTAGGGAGTCACTTGATACATGTTTGTTTGATAAATGGATCGGTGAATGTATCCTTTATTTTTCAGAATATCTTTGTTTCTATTTCTCACTGTTACATCCTAGTGGATGGTGGTATTATTCCAAGAGATAGGGAACAGAGGAGGGACAATTGTGAAAGGGTGGAGCACTTGGGCAAATAATGGGTTCAATTTTAGATATGTTGAGTCTGAGACACCATGAAATACCCAAAGGTAAATATTTAATAGGCAGTTGGATAAACAGTTCAGAAGAAATATCTGGGAAAGAGGTGTAGCTTTGCAAGTCATCACACAGAATTGATGATTATAGCCACAGAAGTGGGTGATGAGAGTACACTCATTGTGGGTAGAGTGAGGTGAAAAGGCCAGAGAGAGAAACCTTGAGGAACACTGCTAATTAATGAATTAGTGTAGATATGGGAACACAAGAAAGGAACTAATAAGAAATGGCTAAGGCCATATGAGGAAAACTTGGAGAATATGGTATCACAAAGCCAAGAGAAGAGGGGATTTAAAAGAAGATGAGGTCAATAGCAGCAATAACGTTGATTGCTGAAATAAGGACTGAGAAGTATCCATAAGATTTACCAACGAAGTCATTAGTGAATTTACCAAGAGTGGTTTCTGTGGAAGGCAGAAGCCAGATAGCAGTGGATTGAGGAGTGGGTATGATAGAAATGAAAACAATGAATGTAGTTAGCTCTTCTAAGAGGTATGTGGCTGT